GGGGGGGGGAGGGAGGGGGTTGATCCTTTTGCAAATTCCCTCTATGGTGGGGGTATGGATAATTTTTTTTGAACTCTGCATTACTCAAAGAGAATGTTGTAATATGGAATAGTTTTATATAGGACTAGAGATTTCCATATCGCATGGTGTCAAGATCTCTGTCTGGTCATCATTTCTAGGCATTTCAGCTGGTAAAGTTTTTTCGTTATAACTTTGGGTGTCCTCCATGGGTGTGGTGCCGAGATCTTGTGCATGGCTTGGAATGCTGTTTTCTGTAACATTAAGCAAGACAAATAAGGATATTTATAATGATAGTTGTGGTACAAGTATGTTTGTCTAATATGCACGTACTATTGTCAAGACCCAATGGTTAGAACCAAAATATCGTGAAATTAAAGTGACGCAAAAAATAAAAAAGAAAGATAATGACGTGAAAATTAAGTGACCACATAATGTGATATTATTTAAATAAATATCAAATTTAATAATTAGACATGAAAAAAAAAGCACAAACTTTTTCTTCTTGTTGTTGTTTGTTACTTGATAATTAAGGCCAAAAACAGAGTGATTAGTACCAAAACTGAACATGTCTAATGAGCCCAAACTATTTCTCGTTATTATTGTTACTTTAGTTAATTAAAAGCCACATCCTATGAAATCGCAAAATTTGTTAAGTGACTTAGAAAGGAGTTTTTTTCTTGTTGCAAAATCGTGGAAATAACGTGTCTCAAATTCGCGACCTCTAAAATTGCGTAATTAATGTGTCGCAAAAATTCCATGTAATGCTGTAAGGTACATGTTACCGCTACTCACTACTGCAAGTACAGTAGTTATGCAACTCCATGGGGTCGGACTGAAATATTCAGAAACTTCAACTAAGTTTCAACCAATAGACCAATTTAGTTTGGTTGTGAATGTTTCCCCATTTCAGACCACAACACTTACCTACGCTATGTGCGCCATTTTGTGTTTTGTGATCAAGTAATACATTCTCCTTATCATGTACAGCTTTAGCCTCAGCCAAGGTTGGTTCTGTGGATTCTTCCACAGGTCTAACCCCAGATGCAGGAGCTACTTTACCATCTACTCTTTCTTCTGTCATAACTGGAGGTTTTGAAGAGTTTGCTAAGTTTTTTTGTTCAGCTGGTGTGAAGGGGTTAGATGTGGTTTTTGTAGTGGGAGTGACAGGGACATCTAAAAATGGATTAAAAATAATGTATTTAGTACATCACTGGGTTAAAAAATGCTAAAAAATTAACATAATATACATTCATTTGTCATCTTTTTATTTAAAACCAGGAACCATGGATTTTATTATAGTCGGAAAGCACAAAAAAACAAAAACAAAAACAAAAACCAACAAAAAAACAACAAAAAAACTAGACAACCAAAATGAAAAAAAGAAAACTAGGGTTCTATCTGTGAGTTAGCCATCCCCTGACTTAGATCAGCCTTGAGGTTGTTTCAGGGTTCAATCTGTGAGTTAGCCATGCCCTGACGTAGATCAGCCCAGAGGTTGTTTAAGGGTTGGATCTGTGAGTTAGCCATGCCCTGACTTAAATCAGCCTAGAGGTTGTTTCAGGGTTCAATCTGTGAGTTAGCCATGCCTTGACTTAGATCAGCCCAGAGGTTGTTTCAGGGTTCAATCTACTATGAGTTAGCAATGCCATGACCTTGTTCAGTCCAGAGGTTGTTTCAGGGTTCGATCTGTGAGTTAGCCGTGCCCTGACTTAGATCAGTCCAGAAGTTGTTTCAGGGTTTGATCTGTGAGTTAGTCATGCCCTGACTTAGATCAGCCCAGAGGTTGTTTCAGGGTTCAATATGTGAGTTAGCCATGCCTTGACTTAGATCAGCCCAGAGATTGTTTCAGGGTTCAATCTATGAGTTAGCAATGCCATGACCTTGTTCAGTCCAGAGGTTGTTTCAGGGTTCTATCTGTGAGTTAGCCGTGCCCTGTCTTAGATCAGCCCAGAGGTTGTTCCAGGGTTCAATCTGTGAGTTAGCCATGCCCTGACTTTGATCAGCCCAGAGATTGTTTTAGGTTATCAAAACATTTGAAGGTTTTTATTTAGTGTGCTTCCCTCATTCATTAAATAAAGAGCCAATAAGAATTTAAGAATTATAGTGCATGTATACTTACCAGCACCTGTGACTATGAAGAGGGATTTTAATTTAGTGTAAACTTCTGAAGCTCGTTCTTTGACTTTATTGCTTTGTTTGTAGTTACGTATCTAGAAAAAGTCAAGAAAATAATTTAATTTCATTTGCTACTAAAAGTGATTTATTTACTAGACAAATCATAAATTAAGTGAAAATAGTGAAAATTTAAAGTCTTACTTCCTATTAATTTCACCATTCAAGTATTCAAAACATCTACTCTAATGGTAAAACGAAGTTTTCATAAAATGATGTGAGAGGAGGGAAGTTGAAGATAATGGGATTGAAGGAAAGAAATGTTGACAGGGTTCGTGCTGAGGTAACCACTTAAAACTCGAGGACTATTCAAGGAGTATACAAGGACCCAAGAATAAATTTTCAAGGAGTATGTTCAGCTAAATATGCCATGGTTTACACGTTGGTTGCACATGGCCAACTTTCAGATTTTTCAATCTTTCTGACTAGATCTATTTCAGAACCATGCAAGTTATGATCAAAGCAAAAATTCAAGGAGTTTTCAAGGAGTTTTGCTAAAATCATGAAATTCAAGACCTTTTTAAGCGCCCTTAAAAACATGAATTAAATTCAAGGAGTTTAAGGAGTAGCACCAACCCTGTGTTGAGAAAGATGGAAAAAGGAGGAGAAGAAAAGAGAGGGAAAGGAGAGTGGGAAATACTATAGTGAAAGCGTCAAACATATTGTGCCTTATGCAATATGCAACCCTATATGTAACATTCACACATTGAAAAACCGTGCAAGAAATTGCTTGTCACCAATGAGATGAAACTAATTGATTATTGCACTGTCAAGCCTGCAAAATAGTGCCAGACATGGGACATTTGTATGGTAAATTAAGAGTTTTGACTGGTAAATGTTTAGTTTGGTCGGACTCTTCTGTTAGAATGTGGAACATTACAAATAAATAAGTTCACTCTAGATTGCAAAACCTGAAGCAGAACTTTTAAGTACGCGTATATCCTGCCAGGGTCAGAAATTGAGTGAAAAGTGAATCCAATCGATGGAAAGGACAGCAACAGTGCGACACATAGCGGCTGCCATGTTGTTTCAGTGGATTCACCTGACAGAATTGGAGCGGGCTCAATCATAGCATTCTTTCTTGCTTGCAGTATTTGAAAGAAGCTTTTTTTCCGACAAGACTGGCTGAATATCAGATGTAGAAAAAAATCATTTGCAGCTTTGCACTTTTACAGTAGTGTTAACTTACCCTTTTTATTGTTTGAACAATAGCAGGAGATTTCTTAATGACGTCTGGGCTGATTTGCATGTCATTGATCTTGTTTAAAGTATTCAAACATTTTTGTATATCCTACAACACAGATTAAAAAAAAGAAGACTATTTTAATAATAGTTTTACTTAATTAATACCATTTATTGTGTCAAAGGAACCACTGAAGGGAGCCGGCTATGATTGAATGAATGAAGGAATAAATAAAAGAATCAAACAAATGAATGAATACTATAATCATGAGTGAACACACAGATATAAATAGAGAGAGACATGAAAAAATGGATTGATGAATTGGTGGATGGATGAATGGATGGGTGGATGGATAAGGAGATGGATGAGGAGATGGATGAGGAAATGGATGAGGGATGGATGAATGAGGAGATGGATGAGGGACGGGTAGAGCTAGGTAGGGAGGGAGGGAGGGGGGAGGGAGTGAGGGGCGGGAGCGAGGGAAAGAGGGATGGATGGATGGGTGGATGGATGTATAGATATATGGATTGAGGGTGAACTCATAATGTTATCATATTTTGAAAGGTGAAGAATTGTTTAATATCCATGTCCTATGAAATGTTTTAGACAAAAGGATTATGATTGAATATCGATTCACATTTAAATCACTACTTCAATTGTAAACTAGAGAGGCGTGAACCAGATAAACTTACCGGAGCTTCCACTGTTAATGAAAGTCTTAGGTCTTGATTACATAATTCTAAAGTGTCATAAATAGTCGGATCTGAAATAAAACAAAAATAAAAGGATGAAGTAATAATCATTAATAATTATTCATGATATTCTTATTCTTGGGGTGCATGTTACATTTTGCCGTTTTTGTTGTGGAGATTTGGAATCTAGAATCAATAATTTAATTTTAAATCAGAAGATATAACTAGCTAAAAACTAGACTAAAATGTGAGCTGTGTCGGTGTTTCTAATGAAACAGCAATGATAAAAAGTTAAATTATACACCATGAAAAGATGAAAATACTGACATTTCGGATGCTAGTACTTCGTTGTAAAAAAAAAAAAATTAAATCAGAAATGAAATTAAAAAAACCCAGATTTCTAACAAAGGTTACTAGTATTTTATCCTCACTGCGTACTCATTACCGAGTCACGGCAATTAAGAAATGGAAGGTGACTGCGACTGCATGCCGGCAATGAGCATGTGAAAAGCATGCGATGTGCCGTCAACCGCCACCAGGGGAGGTGGGTGGGGTAAATCTTCTACTCTCTCCTTAGGCAGCTTCCAAAGGAATGATTCAAGTATTTGGGTGTGGTGCTTACATATGGAGGGTCGCAAAGCATTACACCTGCACTGCGCAAACTCCCATGTCCATAAATGGGGGGTTGCTAAATTCCTACGTGACATGCCAACTATGTATGCAGTGAGAATAGTCAAGAAAAGCTAAAGAAAATAACAATCAGAAGGAATTGGGACTTACTTTTTAAGCGCTCTTTATGTTTCTGCCATTCAAGTTTTTCTCTTTCTTTCTGCTTTTCCTTTTCCCTGCGTTCCTTTTCCTTTTCCCTTTCCATTCTAGCCTTTTCTTTTTCTCTTAAAGCCCTTTCTTCTCGTTTTATTTTCTCCTTTTCCTTTTCTTTTAGTTTCCGTTCTCTTTCCTTTTCTTTTTCCTGCTTCTCCTTTTCTTTCTGTTTTGCCTTCTGTTCGAGTTTTTCCTTTCTTTTCTTCTCTTTCAATTCCTCCCTGAAAGATTGCATTTGATCAAAATTAAATTGAAAATATGAGAAATAGGCAGCAAAATAAAAGGAAGAATGGAAGAAAGAAAATAATAATAATAGCAATAATTTAATAGCCGACGTTTCTTAAAAAAATTTATAAAGTTTAGTTTCATTATCCTCTGGCAAACTAGGAAAATCAAGAGCCTCTTCAAACTAAAACTCCAATAAACATCAATCATCTGTCATCCATAAAGCTGAATGTTCATGTGGAGAAACATACATTGGTGAGACAATGAGAAACTTTGAAGTTTGTAAGTCAGAACATGAGAATCCCTTACTTATTTCACAACCAGCATGTCATCTATCGAGTCATCCAAACCATTTGTACACATAATTTATTCTTCACAAAGAAACATCCTTATTCAAAAGAAGAATAATTGAAGGGCTCTTGATTGCATGACAACCGCTCAGCTCAAACAAACAAGTCCAATGTTTTATCGCCAGCCTTTATCCCTCTGGGATTTCATGAACTACTTAAATTGTTGTATATTCAAACTAACATCATACTGAAGATGACTTTCACAGTCGAAAACGTTTTATTTTGAAAACCTTTTATAGAGACATCTTTCTATCCTTGTAAATACATATTAATAATTCAATAATTTTCATATTTATATAGCACGAAATACATTATTAAATATATGATGCAATGTGCTAAAAAGCTAAAATAGTGATAAAAAATAAAGAATCAAAAGAGGAAAAAGAGAAGAGATTAGAATGTATAAGGAGAGAGGAGAGGAGAATATATTAGAAGAATAGAAATGAGAGAAGAGAAGAAGAGTGCAGAGAAAAGGAGAGAAAGAATTGGAAGGGAAATAAGAGGAAAGAAGGAATGAGAGAAAGCAAGGAGGGAAGGGAAGGGAATATCCAGCTGAGTGGTGAATGCAGCAAGTAAAGCAAGATGTGACAAAATGACCTGCCCTAAAATAAAGCTTAAAAGAATGAAGCAAATGGCGGTAAAGTGAAATTGCTTTATTCTTCCTTTCCATATATATTTCTGCTTCTTGTGGGTGTGTGTATTATATTAGAGTCAAAAGAAAAAAAGAAAAAACTCAAAAGTTGGGTTACAGAAGCCTGGGAATCATGGTTGTCTGCAAAACAGCTAAATGTGCTGTGATTGGCTAAAACAAAATTCACCGCTCAGCTAGACAGGGGTGGGGTGGGTGGGGGCTTGGTGGTAATTGTTATTATTATAACTACTTAAGTATATGATCTTACTTTCTCTTTTCCAGTTTTTCCTGTTTTCTTCTTTCCATTTCTTCTTTCTTTCTCTTTTTGTCTTCATCTGTTTCTTCGCTGCTGTCATTTTCTTCATCCTTCTGTTTAGTCTTTCTGTCTGATGACGACTGCTTTGGTTTTAATTCATTTTTCTCCTCACTTGATTTGTTCTGCAAGAAAATGTTTTCTTATGTCACTATTAATAGTCATGGCCAGTCTGACATCTATTGAAGTTCTAAGTTTTGGGATCATTAGGTGATGACTGGGTTCCCTGTGGTCAACCAGTCTAGTCAGGATTTACTACGGACTTCATTGAAGTGTGGCACGCATTAAAAAATTCGTCTGCAAATTTGCCGACAAAATCACGCCTCCAAGTGGGCGGAGTCACAGCGTCTCATAGGCAAATTTGCAGACGAATTTTTCAATGTGTGCCACACTTCAATGAAATCCGTAGTATTGAAGGGGAGTCATTAGTTCCAAATACCCCCCAAAAAGGGCATTAATTTTATGCCAAGAATGAAAATGCAGATGCATGCTGCAGGAATGGAAATATTACCAATTTAAGCTCCAAAGGTTAGACACAGCATGACATAAGAGAAAATATGTGAAGATATTTTTGCATTAAATTAGCCATGTAATGCTTACTGAAGTATCTCAGCTGTTGTTTTGTTTTGCTTTATTGTTGAATATTTGATAAACATCTTCAAAATACACGGTTTGAAAACTTTTTTTGTGAATGTAACCTCATCACTTCTGTTTAATCCATAGGGTTCCCAACAGTACGAAAAATAAAGTTACCTGGAAAAAGGCTAAACCATGACAAAAGTGTGTGTATTAGACACTACTTGATTAGCAGCAGGAAATATAAACTAACAAACACTCACACGAAGTGAATAGTTCATTTAATTTAATGGGGTTGGATATTGGTGCAGCAATGTATCTCGAAGGGCACAAGCCTGCAGGCAAACTCTCAAATAAAAATAAATAAAACCGATTGTTCCACAGGGTTCCCAATATCCCAAAGTATGAAGAATCATTTATAAAACGTACACTTTTCTTTTCCTCTTCTGATGACAAACTATCTTCAGAATCGGATTTCTTTAAAATAACAAATTAATATGCATAAAAGTAGGAAAGGGTATTGTACATATACCTTCACACCAGGGGCAGTGCCAAGGAAAACAACAATAAACAAAGATATCTTACTAAGAAGACAATAAGCCAATAAGCTGATTTCTGTATTTTGAACCTTATGGTTTCTTTTCTTGGTTCTAAGGGGGGGTGAATGGAGAAAAAGCTATAGCATAATGATTGCTGGCGGCGATCGTTGATATTATTATAATATAATATTAGTTTATTGATATATTTTTATTGCCAGCAATCCAATGTAAATATGTTTGTACGTTAATTGTCTTGTAACATACATTTAGTTTATGTAATAGGTTTTTCTCCTTTTTTACATTTTTACTAATACTATAAATTGATCCCTCATTATCTTTCTCATCTTAATCATCCTCACTGCTCTCATTTTGCTTTGATTTTTTTGTTGGGGGGNTGGAGGAGGAGGAGGGGGAGGGAGAAGGGAGTGAAAAAAGGAAAGGGCTAAAGAATAATGTGAGGAAATACCTTAGATTTTTCTACTTTTTTACTTGAGTCCTCGTCGTCTTTTTCATCTTCATCATCGTCACTGCTTTCGTCACTACTTATCATTTTCTTGGATTTCTTGGGGGTAGGTTTGCCTTTACTTTTTGTGGCTTTAGTTTTGGGCTGTGTTTCCTTTTTCTTTTTGCTTTTGGGTTCGGGTACATACTCCTGTTGATTGACATGAATACATATGTGTACTGTATATAGCTAGAGTAATGACTTAATTATAGGATTTAAGTATTCATGATGTCATCAAAAAGAAAAAAAACACAATTTTGTTAAACCCTGAAACGACTTCTGGGTCTGGGCTAATCTAAGTCAGGGCTTACTAACAAATGAAACCCTGAAACAACCTCTTGGTTGATCTTAATCAGGGCAATGCTAACTCACAGATATAACTGCATGAAACAACCTCTGGGCTGATCTAAGTCAGGGCATGGCTAACTCACAGATATAACCCTGAAACAACCTCTGGGCTAATCAAAGTCAGGGCACGGCTAACTCACACATTGAACCCTGAAACAATCTCTGGGCTAATCTAAGTCAGGGCACGCTCACTCACAAATAAAACCCTAAAACAACCTCTGGGCTGATCTAAGTCAGGGCACAGCTATCTTACAGATCTAACCCTGAAACAACATCAAGTCAGTGGGCTGATCAAAGCCAGTACAGCATATGACTGATGCACAGATCAAACCAAAATTGATTGTTGGATTGAACTAAAATTTAGCATATAAATAATATTATGTTTTGCAGTTAAAAAATAATTAAAATTCCCTCAGCTGCACACTGTAGGTTGATTTTTTTCTGCTGTCAGTCAAAATATGAAAGGTAAGGGCTGATTAGTTTTGATTGACAGCAAAAAAATATATATATCAGCATGCTGTTCACTGCTAGCGAGTTTGCATATTTATGAGAATAGAAGTAAATGAATATTGTAATTTAATGTTTAATTACCTCTCCTTCTGATTCGGAGCTTTCTTCTGCTTCATCTGAGTCTACAGGCTGAGAAAATTAAATTCCTTCGTAAATAAAAAAATTAGCTTATTTTAATCCCAGCCAGTTCTGTAATTGAGTATTGTTCATGCAAGACATTTTTCTACTCGTGCAACCAAAACTTGTGTCACAAACAATTTTCAGGATGAAATTGTGCCAAGTAACACCAACGTGAAAATTGTCTTGCAACGCCTTTGCAAACAAGTTTCAGCTAAAAGTATGGCACGCCAAACCGGGCAAAAATGTATCAAGTACAAGATACAAGTATTTTTGTCCGGTTTGGCGTGCCATATAAAAGTTTCAATGTTCAACGGAGGCTTAACTAATTTTTTTTAAGTCAAAGAGATGTATTTTGTAAACATTGATGAAGGAAATATAATAATGCTTCACAAATTTTTTCTGTTATGTCAAACATTAGTTGAAAACCCTAGTGCTTCCCCTCTCTTCCACCAAAAATGGAAGTGATAAATACCTCTTCATTGTCCGATTCCTCTGTTTTACTTGTCTTTGCTTTTTTCTTTGCTGGTGTTTTATTTTCTGTGCTTATTCTACGCTTGCCTTGTACCTACATATGAAGATCCAGATACAAGATATCGTGATTAGGCAAACTTTATTGAGCATTCAGAGAAGGCACGTTGTGCCTGAGTGAGTGCAAAGACAGTACTTTATTGTGCTCAAGCTTACACATAGTATAACTACACATAGCATAGCATCGCACTAGCATATCTTCTACTTCTTTGTCTGTTTGTCCAAATCGACCAAACAAACAGCTCGATCCGGCTAAAAACTTGAAGATAGAACCAAACAGAATCTTTGTGGAACAGATTTTTGTGGAAGAGAAAAGTTCACTCAAGATTTGCTCGTATTATGCTTGCGAGCACACAGTGCTCGTGATCAACAATAAGGAAAGGTGCGTACAAAGTGCTAGCAGATTGCGATCTGCTCGTGCAAAAATCATGATAAATTTTCACATGTTTCTGGGCTGTACTGTATCCATTAATTATTAAAAATCTATCTATATATACCGGTTTCTGATTATTACTGGTATCTTCTTTTTCTTCTTCCTCTTCATTTTCCTCATCCTCAGACCCAGAGCTCTCCTCAGATTCAGATTCCACAGGCACCCCACGCAGACCGTATCGGACCTTAGGGTCCTCCACTATCTCCTCCAGTGCTTCACTGAAAAACTTTCTGGTTGATGGTTTGGAATATTTGTCTTTGTGTTTCTCGTAATCAAATAAATCCTTTGCCTGCATTATAGCTCTAGATCAAAGAAATAGGGGAAGAGGGGTACATTGTAAATCAAGGTTATCAAATTAGCTGGACACATGACTGCATTTACTTGGGCTTCCTTTGTTAAAATTTGAGACAAGCATGACAGAACGGGGCTGAAAAATGAGCCAGCGGATTTGGGTTTTCATTTTCAAGGAGTATATTTAGGACTTTTTAAATTTTTTTTACAAGAGCTTTTCAATAAGCACCGTTGAATTTGTATCAGTAATCCAAGGGTTTTTGAAGGATTTCATGGACCTGCACATGCGCATGCGTCTTTCTTTTTGCTCAAATAAATTCAATACTGAAATAAAATTTATAACTATATAATAAAATGAATAAAACAGCTTTTTCCATGGTCTGTTCAGTATTAAAGCACTCATGATCAGGAAGTGCTGTAAGCAATCAAGAAATGTGATAAGCACTCGCCTCAGCTCGTGCTTCTCCTTACACTTCTTTTTGCATATGCCACTTCCTGCTTGCTTTATTACTGAACGGACCAAGGAAAAAGCTGTTTCATTTGTTAAATGGAGTACACAAAAAACTTCTGTTACTTGTTAAATAAAGTTCATTTTCAACTCTGGGCATCCACAGGAGGCCCAAGCAAACACATTTGTAATTCAAAAATAACTTAATCATACTACATATCTAAAGCAGAGCTGAAATCAAAATACACTATGATATACATGGAAAAAACTGGAAATTAGAAAAAGGAGCTGCTGTCAACATAATTGAAATATACAAGCACATCAGCTTTTGTCAGATCCTAGTTCTTGTTGTTTATAGATATACTTACGTCTCATGTGTTCCGTAAAAGAAGATAGGATATTTCTTAGCTGGAATCTTTTCATTAGCAGCTGGAAGATCAATCTGCAATGAAATAAATAAGATAGTTTAAAAATCACAAAGATTTGAAAAACTTTCCAGAAATTTTGATTGAAAATCAGAGCAAGTCTTGTCAACTTGTAAACTTACTCGAGCAGGCCAGTGAGGATAGCCCCTCATTTTCGCCCAAATGAGATCCCCCGGTTGAAAAGACATTTCTAAAGATACGAATTAAGAAGTAAACAATGAGAAACCCGATAAAAAAGATCTAAAAAACTCTCTTATTGATTTGCAAAACCAAGATGGCGTCCGCTCAGACCGCGCGGGATCTGGGACGGCTTGTCGGGCTTTACCCAGAAGCCCCTGCGAACTGTCCTCGCCTCAGTCTTTCTCGTCCATAGAAGCTGTTTCCATGACGACGAATAAAATGGCGGAAAACTTGTTTAGAACATTTGAAGCTCAAATTTTTAGCACGAATTATCTTCTTCATTTTACTCCATACTAAAATTTATCATCTTAAGTCTATGGTTATCGTCTAAGGAGTCGTATATGTGTCTTTTGTAAGATATTTTATTCGTTATTCGTTAAGGTTTTACAATGCCTATAGAAAAGTATAAAGTGGAACACAAGTTTGGAATCATTTCACACAGTCAACGAATACTCCTGGAAAATCGGTTAGAAAATAAATCGAAGACCTCTGTCCCTCCTGGTACCTACTCTAGAAGGAGGTATGTATTGTAAATTACTAAACAGTTTGAGAATATGTTTCTAGATCTTTAGATCGGCATGGCAGCATGGCAACATTGTTATTTTCTTAATGAGCTCAAGCTATTTATTAGTTCATCCGCTTTTTTAATGTTTTTGATTAAATTATAATCTTAGCTAAATAGCCATATAAAGGAGTAGTGTTTGTTTTATTTTCCTATAATCAAATGCCCAAATTGTTCAAATTCTTCAATTAATTTCTAGTATTGTGTTCTTAGAAGATCTATGATCATTACTATAATATTATTTCTTAATCTGCTTATGACAGGCGCCATTATGAAATCACTGAGAACTTTATTGCCAAGGTAACACCCTAATGAATTAAAAAATATGTATATATATATATTATCATAGCTCATTGTGATTTTGAGCCACCAATGCAGTTACAGTGCCGTGCGCCAAACCGTAAACGCCCAACAAAGTTTCGTGTTCTGACAGTCCCCAAGTGCTTTATAACTGCACACATTATAAAACACAAATTACAATAACCGTTATTTTGGATAGGAATTATGCAATCAAAAGTGCACCCAGGTGCTGTGTGCTCTCATAAAGCACATGCTACCAACCAATCAGAACCTGAGAATTATTAATTTTATAAACACTATGAATTCAAAATCACACCATGGGTAGCTAAACCTAGGTGTGTTTTGATCCAAGTTCTCAAAGGCACGACGGCTCCTTGACTGATGGCAACCAATATCTACTCCTGGGGGGGGGGGGGGGGTACTGCCCTATATTCGTTATACGGGTACGTGCCGCCAAACAGGGTATAGTTTTTAGCAATTCTATTCTGGAACAGGGTATATGAAATCACGCTCTCTCCTCTCTGGAACAGGGTATATGAAATCACGCTCTCTCCTCTCTGAAACAGGGTATCTATTTTCGCACTACCGGAAAAGGGTATGGTTTTCAGCAATCTTGCTCTGGAACAGGGTATGAATTTCAGCGATTTTACTCTGGAACAGGGTCAGGGTTCAGAGGGCTCAGCGGCACATCCATACCCTAAATGGGCAAGACTACCCCCCCCCCCCCCCACTTCCCCCGGTATCTACTTCACCATTATAATGATTCCACTAATGTGCTATTGATTAGATAAGAAGCACCCTTACAGTATGAGGTTAGCAGTTGTTTATTTAATTTTTCTACCAAACAGTTTAATGATAGCAGTCTTGATGGCCAGGAAAATCTTTTACCATTTGCTACCAAAATGCTTGCAAGAGTCAAGGTAAGCCATTTTGAGGTTGAGAAAAAAAACCCAATTGTTCAGGTTGGCATTGCATTGCATCGTGGACTGATTTAGAACACAAAATTGATGCAATCTTGAGAATATGTCCCCTTGTGGACTGCAAACATACTAACCTGAAACAGTTTTTTACTCAACATCGGAATTAGCATTTTACGAAATAATATCACTTTAATTTTTGTGTGTTGCCTTTGCAACTGGTTGGTAAAAGTCTCTTGCACAGTTCCATGCGCCATCTTGAAAGGTAGCCATGCCTTTGCATCCAAGCAAGACGAACGGTGACCTTGCAATGATAGAGACCTTTTTTAACACCTTGGACAATTATTCACACGTCTCTGCTCACCATTCGTCTCACTTCGATGCAAAGGCAGGGCTACCTTTCAAGATGGCACATGGATCTGTGAAGGGGACTATTATCTCAGGTTACCAGACTAAGTACATTACACAATTACTACCATGGATGTATAAGATTGGCGATATTTTATTTAATGATTAATTTTTGAAAATCTTACATTTTGCCTGTTTAGCATTGCAACTGGTTTCCATGGCAACTGGACATGAGTAAGAGCCAAGGACAAAATGTATATATTTTATTTTTATAATATTTACTTTGCCCTACATGTTTCCATAGCGACGGGTTGGTCTCAGAGAAGGTGGAGAAGGAGACCATGTCAGTCTTCCCAAGGCCTGGGCTGAACTTTCTTTACTAGCACAACTAAACAACAAAGAATTGCAAGAAGGTACTACTTGTAAGGGATTTCATCCCGTTTTTGAAATGTATAAAATTAGGGATTATTATAAGATATTTGAAATGTAATGCACTCGCTTATTGGCTGGCTATCATGTTAAACTATAATTATATCAGAGGACAGAGATATGCTTGAGCAAAATATTGTACAAAAATATTTCATACATTATCCAATTTTCCATATAGAATTAGATAAATTAAAAAGATATACAAAAAATTAATACCCTACCACCCCTCTAATACATTTATGAGATGTTTATATCACAGTACAGAGACATGCATGCATGTTTCATATTTAAGGAACATAAAATGACTGCTTTGTCTCTGTACTGAGATATAAACACTCTGGGAGCTGTAGACTGACTCGTCGAGAAGAAAAAGAGAAACACTTGGCTACGCCTCATGTTCCTAAGCTTGCTTCTCTCGTGCTCTACAGCTCCCATCATGTTTACGTCACAGTACAGAGGCATGTGCACACGTTTTATATGTTCCTTAAATATTAAAACATGCATTCATGTCTGCGTACTGTGATATAAACATCTCATAAATGTACAAGTATATGCATTATATTTACTGTATTTCTTCTTTTTTCCTTTTAGAATCACTGGAAGTTCTCATCACTTCTCTCAATCAGGCACCTTTATTACAATCCCATATTCCAAGGTAAATGTTTTGATCATTTATTGATGGTATATATATATTGTTTCTATTTCTTGTCCGTTCATCCGTCAGTCCATCCATTCATTTACTCTCTTTTAGAATAGAATAGAATAAATAGAATAGAATACCCTTATTTAGACATGATAACATTTAAAGCTAAAAGCTTGTGGGGCCATGCATAAAATAAAATAGATAAAATATGATATAAAAAATCTATAATATAAATGTAGCTAAATAAATTATTATATATAATTTGAAATCTAAAAATATCTTATTCTAAAATTATCATTACTCACTCTTTCAAACTCACTCACTCTTTCACACTCACTCACTTTTTCACACTCACTCACTCTTTCACACTCACTCACTTTTTCACACTCACTCACTCTTTCACACTCANTCACTCTTTCACACTCACTCACTTTTTCACACTCACTCACTCTTTCACACTCACTCACTTTTTCACACTCACTCACTCTTTCACACTCACTCACTCACTCACGCACACTGAGAACACAGAACAAATGTGGTGAACACTAAACCCACCCTCTTTTCTGCTAAATATTAGCTTGGTTCAATTAATTTTCTATTACACATGCTTTATGTAAGATTTCTGCTCACAGGATCATATAGTAACAAAGTATCAACCATCTTCAATCTTTTTATATATTATTCTCTTCATTCTAGTTTGTTCTTCCTGGCTATGACTGCTCTGCACTGGCTCAGAAAGATTGGTGTCAATCAACCATGTCTAAGAACTGGTGAATTGAAGCTTATCAAGGTACGTTGATGACTTGCAACCATTCTCTTGCTTTAACAAATAAAAGAGCTTTTTCCGTGCTCTGTTCAGTAATAAAGCACGCAGGAAGTGGCGTGGTAAATAACCAAGTAAATAACTAACTTGTTAAAAAGTCAGCAGATTCATACGTAAATCGGAGAAGAATGTGCGAACTTGTTGGTGACCATAACACAATGCAACACTATTAACCACATCATGGCTAGCACCAAAAAGGTGAAAACAGCTGAATTGCATGATTAAAGCTTTTATGATTTTTCCCTTTCAGATGGGTCATGTCGTGTTTGTCAGACTCTATTACTTCTACCTCAATAATAGTTTAACACAGGTAAATAGAAAAAAAGGCCGTTGTGAGACAAGTTGTAGAGAAAATTCCTCTGTGTAATCACGCCTTAACACCCCCGTGAAACTTGTCTCGCAACGCCGTCGCATACACGTTTCAGCCAGACGTTGCAACGGGTAACAGGGCCTTCAGTCTTGAATGAAAAATATATATGTTGTGCAGAATGATTATACAATAGTGAAAACACTTAATTATGAAGTAGATTACACTGAAATGATCAGCTCCAGAACTCCGGCCTCCCCCCCCCCCCCCCCCCCCCCCCCCCCCCCCCGGGCCAGAACTGTGAGCACTGTGAAATGGGAGTTTTTGCGCGACGTTATTTGCAACGCGAGGTCGCATATTTTGCGAAAAATAACGGACTCGTACCCAGTCGCTTTTCTTTCTTACTGTTCTCATGCTGTGGTTGATGGGAAAAATTTAGTGAGTTCGCGGTGCATCAAGGGAAGGAAGGAAGCCACCGCGCGCATTAAAAAAGCTTGAGTGACGACTGGGTACGAGTCTGGAAAAATTCCGTCTCACACAATACGCACAGACTATCGCTAGTCTGTCACAGCAGTGCAGTGGGAAAGTCTACTCAGTTAAATAACACCGAAACAAACCATGACGTCTTTTGTCTAGGGATACTTAATTGAGCGAACAGTCCCAGAATGCATTGCTAATAGCTAGACTAGAGATATAGTTTGTAGTTGTTGATTGGTTCTCTCCTGTGTCAAACGTTTTTCTGTGTTTTCCTCTTCATTTTTGAATCTCATTTTTTTCAACATTTGAATATACTTTCCCCAGGGATACATGAAGGAGAAACAGGCCCTACTCATCTATTTAGCAGGTAAATAAATTGAAGTATGAGCGACGATTAACAGCTTTCAATTTGACATTTAAATTCCTGGCTTTCATCTACATATATTATATTATATCAGGTAATGGTTCACGCATGTCAAGAACGTGTCCTTTTCACCTTAAACCTCATTGCAGCGTATTAACACTTTGCTGCCCTTATGAATACTTTATAAGTTCATAAATATCATGCATTACTTACTTTTACTTCTTGGGTTGCCTATGTTGCATTACTGCGTAAGTTACAATGATTGAGCCCCTTTTTGACAATGAATACTTTATCAGTTTACAAATATCATGCATTACTTACTTTCACTGCTTGGGCTGCCTGTGTTTGTTTGTTTGCAATCACTTGCGTGGTCATTGGTGTAATATTGAAGATTGAAGAGTTTTTTATTATCATTCCTTCAGGTCTTTCTGAGCAGCAGTATGTCTACAGATCATTCCCTGGCTCGCTCCTTGCTCTACGATTCATGAATGAAGTGGTGAGTTTCTTCATTAACGTTTATAGCATTGTGCTAGAGCAGTTTTCGTGTGACCGTGAAAAGCTCACGGTACGAACACGGCCGTGACAAGGCAAGGCATACGCCAGCTCATTCAAACTGTACGATAATTTACTCTCCATCCAATCAAATACCCGAAACACGGCATGAACACGGCGTGGTCAAGGACACGCCAACGACACGGCACTGCCACACCATTGCCAATCACATTGCGCGAGAAAAAGAAAAACGCAATCCAAATTTCAGAAAACATCACAGTCGCAGCAGGGCATGCATACGCACCGACTTTTTTCAGTCACAGTCACAGTGTGCGCTTCTATTGCACGCTGCCTCTCTCTGCTTTCGGTCGTGGGCTCGATCTCTGGACCTGCCAACAAACATGAATACAGTTTTCTCTTGGAGGGGAGTGTTTTTATTCGAGTTCTCCAGTTTTCCCTTCGCCTAATTTCAGTTTTTTTAGCCATCGGCCAAAGGTCGACTATTTAAGTGATATACTCGTAAAACAAGAAGAAGAGTAATAACTTTCTATAGAAGTAAATTTGACAAGTAGGGTGTATCAACGAACAACAACACGTCACGGTTACATAGCGGTAATGACTGAAAACACCTGTTAAGCCAATCACACCTATAGTTTATCCGATAAGAACTACAGGTATACCGCTCTCATACGCGTTGATTTAGAGTACTTCATTTCTTGCTCTTGTTTTTAACAGGGCTATTTAATATGTAAAGGAGTACCAGTCCCACAAGAACAATGCGCAACAAGCCCAACCACCATTGAACCGAGCCGTTCATTTCCGGGGGGGTCCAATAGTGGGGAAATACCGCACGTCAATTCCAAAGCCAGTAAGGAAAGCTTCATTGGGTATCCCTATATGGAGAAAATCGCTGAAGAGGTGAGAAAAAACGTGGTTGATTTTTTCAAAGGATTTCAGAAATAATCAGCATGTTGTAGTCGTATGTTATAAGTATAATACGCTTGGAAGCCTTCAGCTTAAACAAGTTGAACTGCGTGCGTTCATTGTAATTAATTCTCCACCCCCACCCCTCCTCCCACCAAATCCCAACACACACAAAAGAATTGACCTTTTTGGGGGGGGGGTGGGGGTGGGGGTGGTAGCATGGATGGCTCAAAGGTGAAAGCGCTCGCTTCTCATCAATGCAATACCACTGAACTCAGTGTTGTATGTGAGTAGAGTTGCTTGTTGGTTCACTCCTGTGCTTCGGGGGTTTTTCTCAAGGTTCTCCGGTTTTTCTCCCCCCACAAAAATCTTCTTTAAATTCCAATTCGACCATGGGACAAGGGCCACAAACAAGTACGGCTTTTACTAATATATTTTTTTCTCCCTTAGGAGCAACACAGTCATTCCCCAACTGCCATGCGAACACACACATCTGTAGAAAGTATCCATGATGTCTCGGCCACCCTGTGGCACATATTGGACGTGTGGCGCTGTACCATGCATAAGGGGATTGGGCTCAAGCAAGCACTTGATGGGCTTTCGGTATGCGGAACAGGCATGGCTGCTGAGTCCTGGTTGGACGTTTCGTGCGCATTTTCCATCCTTGCCCATACCTGCTCAACCAACCTTTCTGCTCTCCAAACCTTTCAAAGCTTAGCAGCGGGCGCGTTCCCTCGTCCAGCAGCCCTCGCTGAAATTCATGCGCGGCACCTAAACCTATGTGAACATTGCCATTCAGGCTTTATTGGAGATCCATCTGCGCATGCTCTTCACCAGGAGGAGGAGATTATCAATGATGGGCTTCCCGCGGGATCAGACTATTTGTCTGTGGGGCAAACACCGAGTTTTGTTCGAGGCTTGCGGGAGTTCGCAAATCTTAGCCATATTGAAAAAAATGAGAGAAAACAACCACCTGAATCCATAGAAACAGAAAGCCTAAGGTAACTAGTTATTAATTATTATTACTATTAGTTATTGATATCCCTAATGTGTCATAATGCTCAACAACGTCATAATATACACCAAATCGGAATATGAAGACCAATTTGAATAACTATTGTTCTGCACTGACCAGCGACTCGTGACTAGCCTCGTGTTCACGTGGAAACATAAAAGCGTTTTCACATGTATGAGAGGCTAGTCAGTCGCAAGTCAGTGCAGAAGAATTTTTAAAAAAATTGTTCGCCACCCTTCGTTTCGGGGCATGTTTTCTCCAAAAAAAAGAAGCTTAACGAATGCGTTCTTAAAATGGCATCAAGATCCTGAAAGCTTTGCTATCTGTTTACGCGCAAGACCCAAGCACGTGTTAACGGCGTTGTCTTTAATGAGCTATTGTTAGCCTTGTTAGTGGATTTCCACCCCCTACTTTTCCGAGCCATATTTGTAATATATGCTTGATCCACTGGCTGTCTTTCTTTTCAATCATAGCATTGTAGAAAAAGAAAAAAAACCATACGCTGCGCTTACAGTTATTCCACTAAAGTGCCACCTTCATCGTAAAGGCCATTGGGAAACCATTTATACATATAAACTTTTGATAATCCTTCAAACAAATGTGATCTTATCCTAAATCTTAATCCTTTTAGGTCACGTGACGAGAAACACGAATCCTCATCCGAAGCCAGCTTCGCTGACGTCAGCAGCATCGAAAGCGAAGGCCAGACGCGTCGAAAAGGCGGGAAAATGCCACGCCGTGCATCAAGCAAACAATTCAGGTCGTCTTACAAATCATTTCAGTTTGAGAATGGTAGCTCTTCATCTGAAGAAGAAGAAACTCGTAAACCAAAAGAAAAGGTTACCAAGCGAAACTCCTCTAAGGAGAGACTAGGTACGGGCGTTCGCTTCCAAACTGAGGAGCCTGGGACGAGTGACACTGAAGTAAAACCTCATTCCGGTACTCCAAAACCAGGGGAGCCTTTGGAGCGAGAACTTACCAAAGGAAGTCTATACAGTGGGCAGACAGCGGGTAGTACAGTTACTATTCCTCTAGTGGATGATGGTGAGTTATAAATTCAACGAAATAAGCTTGTTTTTTACTTTAACATTTTGCGAATCATCCATACCCATCTTATAAAAGCATAGGGCATAGTTATGACATTATTCAACCGTTTATCATGTATTTCGTTTCTTTAATTTTGACTTTGACTTTCACGTTTGACTTTTGATTTCGAATTTACTTCGACTTTAACTTTAATTTCCATTTTGACTTTGATTTTAATTTTGACTTTGGATTCTGACTTTAGTCCACATGTCTTTTGATTTTTACTTTAACTTGATACCAATTTCGGTTTTGACTTTGACTTTTGAATTGAGTTTAGACTTAGACTTTAAATTTGATTTACATTATGACTTTCGACTACACGTCTTTTGATTTCGACTTTGACTTTGGCATTTGATTCTATCCTATATTATTTTGATTATAGAGTGCACGCACTAAACCCGTTCACAATATTTAGTACTAATTAGTACTATTTCATACAGAATCCTTTGTTTTCTTTCGTTTAGCTATCACTATTTAGTGCTAAAACTACACGTCTTTTGATTTCGACTTTGACTTTTGGCATTTGATTCTATCCAATGTTATTTTGATTATAGATTGCACGCACTAAACCCGTTCACAATAATTAGTACTAATTAGTACTATTTCATACAGAATCCTTTGTTTTCTTTCGTTTAGCTATCACTATTTAGTGCTAAAACTTAGTATTATTTTTACGGGTTTAGAGTGACAACAGTAAATCCGTGAAACTTAATAATACTAAATAGTACAATTTCATGCAAATTCCATTGTTTTCTATTGTTTAACTAGCACTATTTTGTACTATTTAGTAATTAGTGTTTCACGGATTTACTGTGGTCACTGTAGTACGAGCACTCTATGCTCTCTTAACTATCTTAATCTCATATTATTTTGACTTTTTATGTGGATTTTTACTTAGGTTAAACTTTTGATTTCGGTTTTTCATTTTAATTCGTAAAGATAAATCCGAAGGTCCAAGCATCACCAAAACCGGAACTTCCCTCATGAACGATATGATTGGCGCCTACGGATGGCCCTGGGAACTAGTATATCTTTACACCGAAGCAATGACGTCAGTCTGTCTCCATGGTAATTCTTCTCTCGTTCAAAAAGTTGCTCTGCTTGGAAGCGAGGCTTATAAGAAACCAAAGGTTCTGGGCAAAAAGGGAACAGTACAAGCTAGTGGACTCGGACTCGCCGACATGTTGAAGTTTAAACTTCCAGAAACTAAAGGTAGGCTGTTTTTTTGTTTGTTTGTTTGTTTGTTTTTGTTGTTGCATTTTTTGATCGTCAACAAGCCATAGGCCTTTTCAGAGTTCGATAAACAGGATAAATCGTGGCCTAGATTCGGTACAAGCAATACCATATAAGGCATGAAGCTAGACCACAATGCACCATGTTCGCTATCTCAGAAAGGGTCTATGATGGCGCACCAAAGGACACCCATCAGTCCAGCAATGTACAATGAATTTCCACCTCCAATCAAAACCCAAAGAATTGTACATAATCCAGCCCTGTCACGACGTGTTCCGTGAGTTAAAATCTTGCAGCCTAGGTTGAATGCTTTGTGTTTGACCAGCGAACCGATGTATTGAAAGGAGTCACCTTGTCACCTTGACGTCAAACAACTTTTACTCGTGCGGGCTCATAGAAAACAGAATTGTTAATCAAAAATGGTGGGAATACTATATTCGTGATCTTGAATCTCACTTGTTTATGTAACAGGTGCTACAGGACTTCCCACGGTAAGAGAAGGGGGGGGGGGGTATTTCCCTAACCTCAATAAATCACACTCCCCTCCCTTCCCTAAATATACCAAAAGCAGGAAACAATTTATCTGAACATGGGCGAAAAACAATCTTAATTTAACAGATCAAAAACATTTTTCCGTGTTTGATACTCTAATCAAAACACGCGGGATGTTGAGAGAACATAAGAGGAGCGTAGGAAACCAAGACGCGTTGCTGTTCTCCCAACATCCCAAGTGTTTTGATCAAAGTATCAAACACGGAAAACTGTTTTTCATTTGTTTTATAAAATAACAAACGCGCGAAAAGATCGAAAAAAGCAAAGTATAAGTAAATTCTCCCTACGTGCCGTCTTATTCAAACTGACCAATGGGCGAGCGCGATAGATTAAAATCTGACAGTTGCAATACTCGCGCGCGCTTTAATGACGATAGCGTGTTTTGATACTCATAAAACATGGTTTTTGACCAATCATAGTGGGCATAGTATCCCAATTATCTCAATAGATCAAGGGAGCACGTTAAAATTTTGATTATGTTGGTTTATCTTCGATTTTATCGCACGTAATCTAAGATATGACAGGCGTTCCTTGTAGTGCTTGTTTACGTGCGCGCGCAACACTTTATGGCAGGCGTTCCTTGCTTTAGTCGGGCTAGCGAATTTACTCCGAAAACCGACGAATTTTTTCTCCCTTCCTTACACGATCGTAAGCCATTCGGATCGGCCGAAACCAAAACACTACGAGGAACGCCTGTCACATGATGGATTGCGCGCGCTAGATAGATCAACCAAGAACAATACCTTTCCTTACACAAACAAAATTTTAATGTGCTCCCTTGAATAGATTGTTCATATTATTGTGTACTGTTTTAGTTTCCGCAAACAAAGACTGGAGCTGGCGCATAAGATTCGCGGCCGTGCAGGGCCTGGTTCGAGTGAGCCGTCATTCCTATGGCGATAGTATTAAAGACGGGATGTGTTCAACGGCCTGGAACTTGTTAATGAGACATCACTCGACGGAAAAAGATATGAGAGTTTTGGAAGCGTTGAAACTTGCACAGGTGGGTTACTCCTCCGACACACGCACTTAAAAAAAGAGACTGGGAAGGAGTATTCAGGGGCGCTTTTCGTTTACCCGGAAAAACCGGAAATTCCGGTTGGAAGAGCAAATATTTGTGTCATTCCTATCGGAAAGTTTCGGACAACGTTTTTTTCTTCCGATTGAGGTAATCCACTTTTCCCGCTCTTTTGGGTTCTTCCTGTAGACGCGTGTACCACATATGTTGGAATTCAAAGTTTCAACCACATGTATTGGTTTAAATAGTAAGCACCCCAGGGCTCAGGAATTCATCATATAAAATAGCAGCGTCTTTCACTTTGTTTATCCTCCCTGTTGCATGGCTTTTCTCTGTTATGCTAGTGACGAAGGGAGGGAGGGACGGAAGAAAGTTGTCCTAAATTCCATGTTTTCTATTTATGTGCTTCTTCACATGCAAATCCTCATCCTCAGACTCTAAGACAGGATGCATACAAAAGGAATGTTTAGTTTGCAGGGAAGCTAGAAATAATTCTTTTGAACACTTAAATGATTTTACGTTATTTTCCAGGTAGAAGTGGAGATGGACAAGGGATCCCGGGCCTATCCTAGCATGCTAATATCTCACATAGCAGCCGGTCTAGCCTCTACTATGTTACCCCAGTTACCACCTATAATCGATTTACCGGAGATGACGTTAAGGCCCAAATCACGTGTGGCTAAAGTTACAGGATCTCCACCGAAGCGCGCTCCAACACGACCTTCATTAAGGTGAGTAAAATATATTTAATTAAATGGTAGTTATGTTAGCAGGTGGAAATCCATTTTTTCTTTGGGTTTTATTGCATATATGAGTCAGGTGTAAAAATGCTGAAATGGGATCAAACTATGTTAAACCACATTTTTGTCTTTAGAATCTCAATACAAGCCTTCAGTGAAGGGCCAATACTGCCCGTCATGTCATTTCAACCAGAGATCATTTTATACAGCCATGCATTTTACAGCACTTCTCAATCACACGCGCGAAATCGTGAAAAAAAAGAATTCGACACATTCGCCAATCGAAGTGTTTCCCAGCATTGTCGGAAAACACAAAGCTTTTAAGAGCACGTGCCTATGGAATGTCATGAAAACGCCTTGATTGACGTCCACCAAAACTTACTTCGTCTTGATGGCAAATTAAACGATTTCACGCGTGTGATTAAGAAGCGTTGTAACTAGTTCTTTTGAATCAATAAATGTTTTTTTTTTCCCAGACAGGAGATTCTATTAGCTACAGCAAGCTACGAGCCTCCGGAAGGTTACGGTGCGCGCATGAATAAAGAACTGATGACAGTCATCAAGGACCAGTGGCGAAAACAGCTACACATCGACGAGGAAGAAGAGGAGGCGGAGAAAAGGAAACGAGAAGGGGAGAAAATATTAAGGGAAGAGATGGATGGGAAAGCGGATGGGAAAATGGATGGGAAAAAAGATGGGACACAAAGTAGTATAAAAGAAGAAAATTTAGATGGTGTTGATGATGGATGTGGCATGCTGTCTAGTGTAAGTGGTAGACTGAGCATAAAAGAGTAGTATAATATGCTGTGATATCAAAAGTGAAAATCAAATTATGCGATAAGATGGTAAAAAATAAAAAGTAAAAAAGTAAAAGGGCAATCAAAATGAAACAATGTAAATACAACTTTTTTTGTAACTAGAATGATGAACTTTTGTAATTTGTCAATCTTAATATTAAATATTATTTTCATGACATAGATCTCGAAACTGACTTACTTGCACGGGATGGGTTTGCGTGGATGAAATGATCGTATGGGCGAAACGCGCGCGCACCGGCGAAAATTAATTGAAATGACCGATTTTCTTTCCTGTCAAACTGTTTTATACTTTCTTTTCCTGTCTGTTTTTCTACTATTGGTGGCAGTATTAAAGGGGTTGTAAAACATAGCTGTTAGGACCTGTTAGGCTTTTCGTCGACCATGCGCCCTGGAGTCGTTGTAAATCCCATTAGTGTTTGTATGTCAATCTGTCTGTTTGTATGTCAATCTGTCTGTTTGCATGTCAATCTGTCTGTTTGTATGTCAATCTGTCTGTTTGCATGTCAATCTGTCTG